AAGTCCGGACCGCAGAGGTCGGGGAATAAGCCTTGATGTTCGGCTCCCGTTAGGCCACGGGGCCCCGGTACAATGTTGCAGGGGCCGCCACGGTTAAATTTCCGGTCCGTCCTCACCCCCTCTAATATTATAATCGCCAAATGGGGTGACGACCGGAAATCCGCATTCCGCCTAATACTTCCTCCCAAAAAATTTCTGGACGCTTTTCAGGCGACCGGAAATTCTCAGTGGCGACCGGAAATTGGCGATTTCGCTTGGGACTTCCTCGCAAATAAATTTCCGGTCCCAGTTATGTTGCTTGGAAATTGCGATTCTGCCTGGTACTTCTTGCCAGTCATGTTCACCTCTCGGGGAGCGACGATGCAAGGGGGCCTGCAGTGCAGATCCGGACTTTTTAATCCAGGGGGTGGTAGCTACCTCCCTCCCCCTTGAACCTCCCCTGCCAGAAGCCCCCCCCCTCCCCATCCACCCCTTTTTGGCTAAAGGGCGGGGGTGGCTTGGAAGCCCCCCTCAACCTCTTTCGCTAATAATTAAGGGACGAGCGCCGAAGAGCAAAAGGGCGCCGAAAACCAGCAGAGCGCCGAAAACCAAAGTGCCACCGAAAACCGAAAGGGTGCGAAAACCAGAGGCGCGCCGAAAACCGACGGAACGCCGAAAACCGAAAGGGCGCCGAAAACCGAAGGTGCGCCGGAAACCAGAAGAGCGCCGAAAACCAAAGGAGCGACAAACCAAAGGAGCACCGGCGCCGAAAACCAAAAGAGCGCCGAAAAACAAGCGATGCGCCGAAAACCAAAGGGTCGCCGATAACCCGAAGGGCGACGAAAATCGAAGGGCGCCAAAAACTCAAGGCGCCCGAAAGTCAAAGGGGCGTCAAAGGCCAAAGGGGCTCTGAAAACCAAAGAGCACCGAAAACCAAAAGAGCGCTGAAAACCAAAGGGGCGCCGAAAACCAAGAGGGCGCCGAAAACCAAGAGGGCGCCGAAACCAAAGGGGCGCCAGAGCCCAAAAGGGCGCCGAAAACCAGCGATGCACCGATGCGCCGAAACCCAGAGGGTGCGCAGAAACCGACAGGGACACCGAAAACCAAAGGAGCGCCGAAAGCCAAAGGGGCGCCGAAAAAACCAACGGGGCGCCGAAAAAACCAAAGGAGCACCGAACATTGAAAAAACGTTGAAAACGAAAGGGGCGCCGATGCGTCGCGATCACCAACAAGTGCGCAGAAAACCCAAAGGCGAAGCTGAAAACCAAAGGAGCGCCGAAGACCGCAGGAGCGCCGAAGACCAAAGGAGCGCCGAAAAGCAAGAGGGCCTCGAAAGCCAAAGGGCGCCGACACCCAAGAGGGGCGCCGAAGACCAAGGGGTCGCCGAGCTTGAAAAAAGGACGGCGAAAACCAAAGGGGCGCCGAAAACCAATAGGGTGCCGACAACAAAAGGGTCGCCAGACACCAACAGTGCGCCGAAGACCAAAACGGTGCCGAAAACCACCAGGGCGCCGACAACCAAAACGGCACCGAAAACCAACACGGCGCCGAACAAAGGAGCGCCGAAAACCACGGGGGCGCCGAAAACCACAAGGGCGCTGAGAACCAAAGGGCGCGCCGAAAGCCGAAAGGGCGACGAAAACTAAAGGGGCGCCGACAATCAAAAGGAAGCCGAAAACCAAAAGGAGGAGGAAAACCAAAAAAACGCCGAACACAACAAAAAGCGCCGAAAACCACAAATGCTCCGGAAAAGAAAGGGCGCCGAAAACCACAAGGACATCGAAAACCAAAGGGTGTCGAAAACCGAAAGGGCGCCGACAACCAAACGGGCGCCAGGGCGCCGAAAACCAAAAGGATCGCCGAAAACCAAAAGGGCACTGTAAACCACAGATGCCCGGGAAAACGAAAAGGGCGCCGAAATTGCAAAGAGGCGCCAAGAACCAAAAGGGCGCCGAAATCCAAGAGGGCGCCGAACACCGAAGGGCCGAAAACCGTCAGTGCGCCGAAAAACCACAAGGGCGCCGAAAAAGCAAAGAGGCGCCGATAACCAAGAGGGCGCCGAAAACGAAAGGGGTGCCGAAGACAAAAGAAGCTCCGAAGACGGACAGGGCGCCAAAAACCAAAATGGCGCCGAAAACCAAAGGGGCGCCGAAAACCAAAGGGGCGTCAAAGGCCAAAGGGGCGCCGAAAACCAAAGAGGCGCCGAAAGCCAAAGGAGCGCCGAAAACCAAACGAGCGCCGAAAACCAAAAGGGCGCCGAAAAACCAAATGGTCGTCGATAACCCGAAGGGCGTCGGAAACCAAAGGGCGCCAAAAACCCAAGGCGCGCCGAAAGCCAAAGGGCGCCCAAAACCAAAGCAGCGCCGAAAACCAAGGCGCACAGAAAATCTAAAGAACGCTGAAAACTAAAAACCAAGAGGGCGCCGGAAACCAAGGAGCACAGAAAAACGAAAGAACGCTGAAAACCAAAGGAGCGCCGAAAACCGCAGGAGCGCCGAAAACCGCAGGAGCGCCAAAAACCAAAAGGGCATCGAAAGTCAAAGAGCGCCGAAACCCAAAGACCAAAGGGCGCCGATAACCAAGAGGGCGCCGAAAACGAAAGGGGCGCCGAAGACAACAGAAGCTCCGAAGACGGACAGGGTGCCGAAAACCAAAATGGCGCCGAAAACCAAAGGAGCGCCAGAAACCAAAGGGGCGTCAAAGGCAAAAGGGGCGCCGAAAACCAAAGAGGCGCCGAAAGCCAAAGGAGCGCCGAAAACCAAACGAACGCCGAAAACCAAAAGGGCGCCGAAAAACCAAGTGGTCGCCGAGAACCCGAAGGGCGTCGGAAACCATGGGGCGCCCAAAACCCAAGGCGCGCCGAAAGCCAAAGAGCGACAAAAACCAAAAGAACGCTGAAAATCAAAGGGGCACAGAAAACCGACAGAAATCAAAGGGGCGCCGAAAACCAAGATGGCGCCGGAACCCAAGAGAGCGCCGAAAACCAGCGATGCGTCGAAAACCAAGGGGTGCGCAGAAAACCAAAGGCGAAGGTGAAAACCAAAGGAGCGCCGAAAACCGCAGGAGCGCCGAAGACCAAAGGAGTGCCGAAAACCAAAAGGGCATCGGAAGTCAAAGAGCGCCGAAACCCAAAGGCCAAAGGGCGCCGATAACCAAGAGGGCGCCGAAAACGAAAGGGGCGCCGAAGACAACAGAAGCTCCGAAGACGGACAGGGTGCCGAAAACCAAAATGGCGCCGAAAACCAAAGGAGCGCCAGAAACCAAAGGGGCGTCAAAGGCAAAAGGGGCGCCGAAAACCAAAGAGGCGCCGAAAACCGAGCAGACGCCGAAAAAACAACAAGTACGCCGAAAACCAACGGGGCGCCGAAAACCAAAGAAGAAAAGTAGCTTCGAAGCCCCCCGTTCAGCCAGGGCACTCCAGCTGGAAAAGCCAACAGAAGGAGGAGAGAGGGCGGGTAGCTTCGAAGCCCCCCCCCTTTGGAAAGGGAAGCCTGGGCTTACCCCGGGCCCCGAAAAGTCAGGGTGGGGGGGGTAGCTTCCAAGCCCCCCCCCCTTTAGCCAGGGACCCACCAGCTACAACATCCAAACAAAAGGAGGGGGGGGAGCTTCGGAGGCCCTTGAAAGGAGAGCCTGGGCTGACTTTAGGCTCCCGAAAAGAGGTGGGGGGATAGGACCCCCCCCTTTTAGCTAGGGCCCCCCCAGCTCCGAAATGCCCACAGACAGAAGGAAGCGAGGAAAGGGTAGCTTCGGAAGCCCCCCCCCCATTCGAGGGGGGGGGGGAGCTTCAAGCTGGGGCCCCAATTTTCATGAGAAGCGTGCCGCGGGCGCGCTCTTTCAAAGCTTGCTGCCGCGTGCCCCTGCAATGAGCACGCCAGATGGAGGAGCCGGCCTGTAGGCAGGTGCTCCACGGAAGCCTCTGATCCCAGGGGGGGCCGGGCCCACAGAAGCCCTGGGGGCAGGCCGGGGAGCTCAAAGCTCGACGACACACTCCTCCTCTTCCTCCTCCTCCTCCTCCTCCTCCTCCGCCTCCTCCTCCTCCTCTTCCTCCTCCTCCTCCTCGTCCCCGCAGCTCTATCTTGCAGAACGATGTTTTGTCACATGTGCCCGTTTTTTACTGCGTGCTGGTGCTGCGTGCTGCTGGCACTCGCTGCTGCTCAGTGGCCGCTGCGGCTCGCCGCGGGATAGCTTGGCAGCCTGGGGGGGAGGACTGCGCGGAGCTTGCTTTTTAAGTGCATTGGAGCCCTCAAGAATCAAGGGGCCCTGGGACACAAAAATAAATAAGCACAAATAACAGGATTCCCCATATTTCCCAATATTTTCTAAGTTTTTGTCTTCCCCCACTTCCTATATTTTCGCATATTTTCCGGGGAATCGACGATTACTTGTGTCTGTGTGTTTTTTGTTCCCCTCCTGAAAGAAGCCACTTGGGGGGTAAAGCTTGGCCCCTCCTGGGCTCTCGTGGAGCCTTCCTGGGCCACCCTGCGCAAGGTTCCTTTGGGGGCCTCGCGGGGCCCTTCCGCAGAGTCTCGAGGCCGCCTCGACGGGCCTCGACTCTGGGGCCACCTTGGGGCGGTCGTGGGACGTCTTGGATCCGCCGTGGAGCCTTCTTGGGACCAGCTTGGAGGCTGGCCCGGCCCTCTCGGGCCATGTTGGGGGTGTCTTTTGGGCCCTCCAGGGGCCTCTCGTGGGCCTCCAGGGGCCCTCCGTTGGGGCCCTTCGTGGGGTCCTCTAGATCTGAAAAGTGGAGAGCCGTGAGCAGATAAAGCCTCAGGCATTTCACGACCTCTGCATGTCGGAGACCCTCCGCAGAGCCACCGCGGCGCAACCTTGACGGAGTTGGGGCTGTGTCTTGGAGGCCTGTCGGGCCGTCGCTCGAAGCTCTCTTGGTCCATGTGAGGTTCCCCGAGGGCTCCACACGGCACTCTAGAGGCGTCCTGGGGGCGCCCCCGGGCCCTCCAGGGTCCTCAGGACTGCTCTGGGAGCTGCCAAGGGCGTCTTTCACGAAAGCGAGCCAGCCCTGGTCGCAGGCACCTGGCCCTGCGGTGTAGAGATGATGACGGTGTGCTCCAGCTTCGCCTCCCGCATCTCGCCGAGCAGCGCCAACGCCCGCTGCCACTGTGTGCCCTTCTCGCACGCGCTGATTCCAGCGTTGTAGCTGATGGCGTTGGGCCGCACTTTCGCCTCCCACATCTCGCTGAGTAGCGCCAACGCCCACTGCCACTTCTCACCCTTCTCGCACGCGCTGATCCCAGCGCTGTAGCTAACAACGTTGGGCTCCAGCTTCGCCGCCCGAGTCTCGCCGAGCAGCGCCAGGGCCTGCAGCCATTGCTCGCATTTCTCGCATGCGCTGATCCCAGCGCTGTAGCTAACGACTGTCGGCTCCAACTTCACCTCCCACATCTCGCTGAGCAGAGCCAATGCCCTTTCCCACTGCTCGCCCTTCTCGCATGCGCTGATCCCAGCATTGTAGCTGACTAGAGCTGACCCGTGGACTTAGCGTGCAGACGCTGAGATCGCTTGCCTGCTTGCCTGCTATTTGGCGCGCATGGCTGGTAGCCAGACAGTTGTCTTCCCGACGTCACTGCCAGCATGCTGGCAGGCCTGGCGGTCGCAACTAACCCTCTGCCGGACGCCACGGCAGCGGGGATGGCCGCCAGCCGGACGTGGGCAACGCAGCGGCTGCGCTTGTTCTCTGCTGCTGGCTACCACTTGCTGCCGCTGCTGGCTAGTGTGCTGCCGGATGTGGAGGCCGTGCTTTTTTTCTCTCCTCTCCTGCAAACTCACTCAAGCAATCCTCGCGGCCATGCTTGGTTTATATATCCTCCGGATATGGAGGCCGTGCTGGGGGGCCCCATGGCCGAAACTATTGGGGGCCTCGTTGGGCCCTCTTGGGGCCCTCCTGGGCCGCCTCGGGGTTCTCCGGGGGTCTGTTGGGCCGTCGTGGCGCTCTCTGGAGGGCGTGTCGGGCCGCCCGGAAGCTCTCCGAAGCCTTCTGTAATATTCTGGGAGCCCTCTGGGGCCGCCCTTGGGCTCTCTTGAGGCAGTCAAAGACCGGCCAGAGGGCCCTAAGACGGCCCGAAGACGGACCGAGACGGCCAAAAAGGCCCCGAAAACAACCCAGGAGGCTCGATGGGGGCCCCCAGAGGGCCCAAGGTGGCCCGCAAGGAGCCCAAGAGTCTCCCCCGAAGCCGTCTTGGAGCTGTCTCGCGTCGAAAGGCCTGCGAAGCAAACGACATACATCTTCCTTTGGGTGTTGGAACGCTTTGCAGTTGCCGTGGTCTTCATGACAATTCCTGCAAGGCCTCTTGGGGCGTCTAGGGGCATTCTGGAAGCCTCTTGGAACCGCTTGAGATCTCTCGGGGGCCCTGTCTGGCGGCTGTGGGGGCCAATTATGGCCATCTCGGACATTACCGAAGGCTGCTTCTGCGACGTCTTGGGGACCCAGAGCCCACAGGGACCCGGAGGCAGTGCCGACGCCGCTGGAGGCCGAGAAAGCGATTTGCCCACGCACTTGTCCCAGAATCGAGGGGATGATGATGATGATAGCTTCGGGCTCCAGTTTCAAAGTTTTTAACGTTGCGGCTCACTCTCGGGAGCCTCGGGTTGAAGAGCTTACTGTGTCACCGTTCGCTCTTGGGAGCCTTGGATGGAAAAGTTTTTTATTGTACCGATCGCTCTTTTATCTGGCGCCTGTGCGCCTTCTCAGTGTGGGGGACTTTTGGGGGCCCTTCAGGGGCTCTTTTGGGCCGTTCTGTTGCCGTTGTGGGACGTCTTGGGGTTCGTTTGGGCCGTCACGGGGCGTCTTGGGGCCCTCTGGAGGGCTTCCTGGGGCCCTCTTGGGAGCCTCGTCGGGCCCTCTTGGGGCCCTCTTGGAGCCGTCTTGGGGCCCTCTAAGGCCGTTTGAGGGCCCCCTTGAACCGTCTTTGGGCCCTCTTGCACCATCTTGGGGCCCTCTTGGGGGCCGCTCGGGTCGTCTTGGGTTTTTTTTCGTGGGCCTCTTGGCCTGTCCTGGACCGTGTAACAACCCAAAGGCGGATAAGCTGAAAATGTACGTTTTCCCATCGGAATGTGACCATGTTTGTCTCTTTGGTGTCCTCTCGGGGCCCTCTCGGAACGTCTTTGGGGCCTCTTGGACTGTCTTGGAGCCACCTTCTGAAGTCTTTGGGGCGCCTTGGAAGCCTTGGACCGTATTGGTGCTCCCTGGAGGGCTTCCTGGGGCCCTCTTCGAGCCTCTTCGGGCCCTCTTGGAGCCCTCTTGGAGCCGGCCCCCATGGGCCGTCTTTGGACCCTCCTGCACCGTCTTGGGGCTCTCTTGCGGGCCGCTTGGGTCGTCTTGGAGGTTTTTGGGGGGCCTCTTGGCCTGTCCTGGACCGTGTAACAATGCAAAAGGCGGATAAGCTGAAAATGTAGGATTTCCCATAGGAATGTGCCGATCTGTGCCTTTTTGGCGTCCTCTCGGGGCCCTCTCGGAGCGTCTTTGGGGCCTCTTGGGTCGTCTTGGAGCCACCTTCTGAGGTCTTTGGAGCGTCTTGGAGGCCTTGGACCGTTTTGGGGTTCTCTGGAGGGCTTCCTGGGGCCCTCTTGGGAGCCTCGTCGGACCCTCTTGGAGCCCTCTTGGAGCCGTCTTGGGGCCCTCTCAAGCCGTTTGAGGGCCCCCTTGGGCAGTTTGGGGGCCCTCTTGCTTCGTCTTGGGGCCCTCTTGGGGGCCTCTTGGGTCGTCTTGGACCGTCTTGGAGCCACCTTCTGAGGTCTTTGGAGCGTCAAGGCCCGTCTCGGCACCAACTGAGGCCGTCTTGGAGCCCTCTTGGACACTCTTACAACCCCTCTGGGGCGCCTCTTGCGGCGTCGCGGGCGATTCGACCATGTGGTGAGGCTGTAAAGGGGCGAGTTTATGTACATGAGTCCCCGCATGTTTGGCACGCGCTTCCTGCCGCCATGTAGGAGAGACTAGGGCTGACCCGTGGACTACGTCCACTCGCGGGGGGGGGGGGAGCGCCGCAAGGCGCATTCAAGTACGTTAGGCGCCACGTTGGCTTCCCACTTCTGCTGGCGTCGCATGGTCTGCCGGCGTCGCTGCCGCGGTGGCCGCGGCGTCGGCCGAGAGCCTCGGAGCTGTTCCCGAGGTTGCCGGTGGCCTCGGGCTCCGCATGCAAGGCCTCAATCTCGGCGGTCGCCCTGCCCCTGGGGGTCGGCATCTGTGGGCGGACCCGTGGACTACGTCCTCTTTCAGCAACTAAGGGGGGGGGGGGATTTCCGAAAAGTGCATCTCCAGTCCTTCTGCGCCGAGACGCTCCTGGAGCCGTCGAGAGCTTGAGGACAAAATCTTCCGCCCGGGCAGCGTGTTAAATCCGTCCGCGGCAGGCCGGAGGCCTCTGCGATGGACCCCAGGAGCCACGGACAACATTTAGCACGCCACCCTCGCGTGAAGTGAAATTTTGTCCTCAAGCTCGGGGAGCGCGACACCCTCACGTTAAGTCTCGTCCTCGGGCCCAGACCCCGCGTCAAATTTCGCCCTCGGGCGGTCATGCCGCGCACTGTGGCGGCCTTGGTGGGCCTACATGGGCCCAGGTCGGAGCCGTCGTAGGCGGCGTCGGGAGGCTCCTTGGGCGTCTTGGGGCTATCCTTGAGGGTGTCTGGGGCCGTCTGGAGCCATTCTGGGGCTCCCTGCGGGCATCCTCGGCGACCGGAGCCTGAAACAAGCTGGAAGGGGGAACTCTTTGAAGACTGAAAGGAAATGCATGGTTTGGGCCTCTTCGGACCGTCGATGGAGCCCTCGGGTTCCGAGAATCGGGCGACTCGGCGCGTCTGTTTGTGCCCAAGGACAAGATTACGGAGCGCCGTTAACGGCAACACCTCACCGCTCACCCTCCGGATCTTCGCCTCCGGCTCCTGCCCAAGGCGTTCCTTTTCCTGTGCAAGCTCCTCGGCACCGCCTGCACCCCGGCCCGCCCTCCCGCCGCCAGAGGCCCCGCCCGCCTGTGCCCTGTCTCCCCAATTAGAGCTGTGCGTAGCCCGCCTAGCTATTACCAGAGGAGGTTCGCTCTCGCCCCACAGACCAAAAAAGTGCCCGAGGACAAGATTCAACGCCTGGGCAGCGTGCTAAATCTTGTCCGCGCCAGGGCCGGGGCCTCTCGCGCTCGGCCCCGTGGGGCGAGGACAAAAAATTCAACGCGGCACGCGCGCACGAAAGCTCGTCCTCGGGCGAAGAGGGTGCGCTGGATTGCGTCCTCGAGCTCGCCGGAGGCGCCCGGGGGTGTTTTCCCAGGCTTTGAGCCGCAGGCCATTTTCGCACGCACGTATGCCTGCAGTGTGGGCAAGACCAGGGCTGACCCGTGGCCTACCGGTCACGGAATCTGCACGAAAACTGGCTTGTGATTGTGGGCATGCTGCCGAAAGGCTGACATGATGATGTGGGGCTCGATTCTCGTATTCCGCGCATGCTACAACCTTGCTTAGAGTTAAGAGCATTTTGAGCTAAAAGAAAAAACTACACCCCAAACGTTTCTTAAACCGTAGTCCAGGTCCAGATAGACGAACATTCTACGAAGAAAATACGCTCCAAGAAAACGCCCAAAGTCCAATCCAGAATCCTTCAGATTTCTACTGAGTGTACTGCGTGCTTCTGCTTGCTACCGCTATTGTGTGCTGTTGGTAGTGCCTGCCGCTGTTGCGTATTGTTGCTTCTCGTTGTTGCTTGTTTCTGCTGGCGTCTTGTTGCTGCCTGTATCTGTCCGAAATGGCACGTTGGACCATGGCAGAGATGTTGCCAAAAGGCTTCCGTGATGATAGTCGGCCCGAACTTCGCCTCTGCTGTTGCTGCCTGCAGCTGCAGACTGCTGCTGCCTGCGGCATGTTGCTGCTGCTGCTGCTGCTGCTTCTGCTGCTTACTTTTTCTGTGCTGTCGGTGGTTGCCTGCTGCGGACAGCTGTTATTCGGTGTTGCTGCTTGGGGCTGCAGAGTGCTGCGTCCTGGCACCCTTCATAGTGGAGCGAGGAGCGAGGAGCTGGGTGGCCAACGCGGTCACAAAGCTCTGTAAGGGATCTTCCCTCGGAAATCGCCAGGCGGCGGTTTTGAGGGTGTCTTGGGGCCTCTCGGGGGCCCGACTTGGGCCTCTTGGGGGCCTCCTGGGGCTTCTAGGGGGCCTCTTGGAGGCCTGCTGGCGGTTTCGGGGGTCATCTTGGGGCGAAGGGTGCGAAATCTCAGTGCCAATTCCCCCTCTTGGGGCCCTCGTGGGTCCCTCTTAGGGCCATCATGTGCCGTCTTGGGGGCCTCTTGGGCTGTCTTGGGGCCTCTTGGGCTGCCTGGGAGCCCTTTGGGGGGCCCGTTAGGCCGCCTTTGGCGCTACTTGGGCCGTCGTGTGACCGTCTGGAGCTCTCCCTGGCGCCTCTGGGGCCGTTTGGGAGCCGTTGGGCCGTCCTGCGCAACTCTTAGAGCATGTGTGGTGTTCTCTTGGATCGTCCCCCCTGTCACTCCTAATCAGCCGTAGGTTGGGTCCGGAGCTTCCCGTTGCGCGCAAGGAAAAGGAAGGCGAGCAGCAGGAGGAGGAACTCGGCACAGGAGAGAGGGGTGTGGAGGCACCCCGAGGACGAGGAGGAGGAGGAGGAGGAGGGGGAGGAGGAGGAGGAGGAGGAGGAGGAGGAGAATAATTATCAAAAAAGAAGAAGAAGAAGAAGAAGAAGAAGAAGAAGAAGAAGAAGAAGAAGAATGGGACTGAGGAGGAGGAGGAAGAGGAGGAGGAGGCGGAGGAGGAGGAGGAAGAGAGCAGAACAGGGAGAGGGGCTTTCTGGGGCGTTATTTGGGGTTCGGCGGTTTCTTTTGTGCTGCTGTGGACCCAGAAAAGCGAAACGCGCCGTAGCTGGACACTCTTCTGTGAGCTCCTTGGCAACATGCGGGGTCTCTTTCCTTTGGTGGCGCGGGGGCATGTAGTCTGCAGCCTTCTCTGGGGTCTGGGGCTCTGTGGGGCTTCTGGGAATCCAGAAACGGCGAACGGTCTTAGGGCTGGAGGCTCCCTTGGGAGCTCCTTGGCACCTGTTGGAGTCAGCTGGGAGGCTCTAGGGTGTCTCGGAGTGGTCCTTCTGGGACAACTCTTGGGGCTCTCATGTGCCATTTTTGGGCCCCCTTGTGCCGTCTCGGGGGCCTTTTGGGCCGTCGTGGAGCCATGTTGAAGGTCAGGGGCCGTCGTGGAGCCCGCTTTATACCCTCTTGGGCAGCTCCTGGGGCCATCTTGGGGCTGTCTTGGCGATCACTTGGGGCGTTGTTAGTTAGGCCGTCTTGGGCCTCTCTTGGGCTGTCTTCGGGCCCTCTGGGGTCGTCTTGGTGCGATCTGTGAAGGACCTGGAGCCGTGTGTGGGGGGCCGTTCTGGGCCCGAAATAGCGAGAACCTGAAAACCGTCAAGAACTCAAGGATTCTGTATGATGTTGCCCTCGTCGGGCCGTCATCGGGGCCCTCGTGGGCCGCCGGTGGGGCCTCCAGGCCGGTCTGCGGGCCCTCTTGGGCCACCATGGGGCTCCCTTCGGCTTCTATTGGGCAGTCCTGGCACCCTCTTGACCGCATCAGAGCTGTCCCGGGGCCGTCTGCAACCGTTTTGGTGCCATCTGGGGACCTGCTGGAGCCGTCGTGGAGCGCCCCGAGGCGCGCCAGGACCTCGCCCGTTTCGCTCGCGCCGCGACCACACCTTGGCGTTGAGATGCCGTCGGGCTCCAGCTTCACACTCCGCATCTCGCTGAGCAGCGACAACCCCTGCCGCCACTCGTTGCCCTTCTCGCACGCGCTCATCGCACTGTTGTAGATGATCGTGTCTGCTTCTACTTGCTCTTGCGACAGCTCGACCAGCAACAATAGAGCCTGCTGCCACTGCTTGCACTTCTCACACGCAGCAACGGCACAACTGTAACTGATGACAGTAGGCTCCAAACCAAACTGCGACATGCCTCTGAGTAGCGACAGCACGTGTTGCCACTGAAGGCTTCTTCCACACGTGTTCATACCAATGTTGTACGCGAGAGAAGGGACTTGAGCTCGCGTCGCCATTGCGCTTCGCAATGAGTCTAACACCGATGCCCAACTTTTGACGTTCATGCTGCTTGTCAGTGACGTCCAAGAGACGACCTGCATGCGATTTGACTCGGTGCTGGCGTGCTCTTCCGAGCATTTGCGCCGAAAAATGATATGCGGCGCTCAGCGCCTCTGAATGAGGGATGCTGAGGCTGCGGGCAACGACGAGCCAGCACTGAAAATCAGACCTTGAGCCCGAGGGAAGAGGAAAGGATGAGCAGCAGCATAGTGCGTGCGAGGAGAAGGATGACGCATGACGAAACAAATCAGGAGGAGGAAGAGGAACCATGGATTGGGAAGAGAAGAGCTCAGTATAAATCGGCCTACGTGCGAAGCACTACAGCTGATGGAAACAATTGACGCAACACCGCATCATAACGTTGGAGTTCCGCCATTTGATGAGTTGGACCACGGCCAAGGCACCGACGACCGCTCGTTGAAAAATCTGCAAACGTGCTTCGCATGTAAATTCTCCATGTTCAGCGACGGCCGCCGATCGTGCCAAGCAAGTAGATCGCAACCTGTGAATGGCGGAGTTCCAACGTTGTGAATAATTGCTGCGTTTCTTATTCCATCCACAGTAGGAGCAGAGGACAACGGGGACGTGGAAGAGGAGGAAGATGAGGAGGGGGAGGAGGACCAGTGTAAGCCGCTTACTGTAAACCTGAGACTCACCATGTTGGAATAAACCCTCCCTCCAAGCTCCCTCCTCATATGCCCCTACAATGGTTCTTTTCCACTGAGGGAACTGCCTCGTTGGGAGTCAACCGTTTGAAGATTCTGGAGCGTGCGAAGACACAATTCTCGGGACTCCAGCATCACGAATCAACACAACTGTTGCGTCGTGATGACACGGAATCGTGCCAGAACCAGAACACGATCCCTGAAACTTCAACACCGCGAATCAACGTAACTGTTGCGCCCTCACAATCCTGAGTTCTTCAAGCACACCATGTCTGGCACGTTGACAATGCAAAAACGTGAAACTGCTGCAAATGTTTGAAACGAGCGCGCGCGGCACAAAGGCGAGAGCCACATTTTGAAAAGGAACCGCCTTAAATCGAAATTCTTGGAACTTTTCAAAAAACTAATGCGCGCGGAGCTAATGCGAGAGCCACGTTTTGAAAACGACCTGCCCTCAATCCGTGAAGCTCTCGCGAATGCTTACAACGAATGTGCGCAGCGCTACGGCGAGAGCCATATCTCGAAAACCACCCGCTCTCCTGGAAACTGTTGCCGATTCATAAACAGGTGAGGACGTCTCACGCGAAACGCCCGGCCCGCCCTTCCGACCAGCTGCGGAATGCGACAGGGAATGACTACAGCATAGAAAGACAAGGAGTCCTCCCTCCTCCCTCCTCCCTCCTCCCCCCTCCCCCCTCCCCCTCCTCCCTCCCTCCCCCTCCTCCCTCCTCCCTCCCCTCCACCCTCCTTTCCTCCCCCCTTCTCCCTCCTCCCTCCTACTTCCTCCCTCCTCCCTCCTCCCTCCTCCCTCCTCCCTCCTTCCTCCCTCCCTCCTCCTCCCCCCTCCACCCTCCTCCCTCCTCCGTCCCCCCTCCCCCCTCCTCCCTCCTCCCCCCTCCCTCCTCCCCCCTCCCCCCTCTCCCCTCCTCCCTCCTCCCTCCACCCTCCACCCTCCTCCCTCGAGTGGAGGAGGAATGGAGGAATGGAGCACGGAGCTCTTCCCTCCTGCCTCCTCCTCCTTCTGCTCCCTCATCCCTCATCCCCCCCCCCCGCGCGGGGGGAGAGGCTGGAGGAGGAAGAGGTGGAACATGGGGAGGGGGAGAGAGAAGGACAGGGAGGAGGAGGAGGAGGAGGAGAAGGAGGAGGAGGAGAAGGAGGAGGAGGGGGAGGAGGAGAAGGATCGCCAGGAGTAAGATGAAGAGGATGAGGGAGAGAGATCACCAGGTCGACGCTCGAGAAAAAGTATTCACCAAAATTCCCACGGCGGCGACGGAAAAAACAAAAAACACTATGCAGGGGGGGTCCCAAATCTGGCGGCCAACGCCCTGGACCCTAAGTAAGTGTTACAAAAAATTAGCGGCGGCCGCGCGCAAAAGCCAAACCGACAATAGAAAGACGAGGGCGGCGGACTCTGCGCACACTGTATGTACTACGTGACATGAGCATGGAAAGATACCGTTGTAGATCATGTACGTAGACGAGCTTAACTCGCGCGCATGCGTGCGTACATTCTTACCACATATACTTTTGATGTGAAGATCGTCGGGCCGCGAAATACGAGCCGGAATCCGACGCCGCAACCCAATTCAAAAATACCTCCGTTCTCTTATCCGAAAGCGCCCGCAGTCGGTTCCAAAATCAAGCGAAACCTTCAACCCACGAGCGCGCACCGAAAACATACGTAACAAAACATGTCCAAGAAATGTCTGGAAATATCACGCTTCGCCGTCGTTTACCCCCCCTAGGCCCGAACTCTCCATGCCACCGCGACGAATTACACAACATAGGTCTTCTGACCCCCCCCCCCAGGCCCGAAACACCCACACAAAAGTAACAACCGCGCAACCGCGACGAATTGCACAACATAATTCTGTTTCGAAGGGAGCAAACGCGCATCCGCGACGAGGCCTCTGGCCCACGGCCCAGGCGCGGTAGCGGGGTGGGCTGAAGGCAGTCTTGCAAACAACCGATGCAAATTCGCGGCGGCGGCGGCGGTCCCGAACACTAGGTGCACTTTGCAAGAGATGGATTCGGTGACGGCGGCCCGCCCAGAGACTGGGTGGCGTGGAGGCTTAGTAGACCAGGTGATGGAGAGAGAAACGGGATAGAAAGAGAAGGAGGAAGATAGGAAGGAGGAGCAGCATCAGCAGAGCCGAGCCCTGAGCGGAATGTCATGAGGCCCCTGTCCAGACCGATGCGCAGAGATACCGAAGACTGAACTGCACTCTGAGAGGGCACCTCGGATACTGACCTGAAGCTACATCTGCAGGCCATCTCTGTGGGCTCGAAGCCAACTAAAACTACAGGGAGGAGGAGGAAGCGGAAGAAGAGGAGGCTGAGGGTGATGAGGATGAGGAGAGCTAGCAGAAAGAGGAGGACAAGGAAGGAGGAGGAGGAAGGGGAGGAGGACAAGGAGGAGGACGAGAGGAGGAGAAGGAGGAGGAAGGTCCCCGCTTCTTCTGCGGCCCGCCCCCCCACACACACACCCAGACAGACCCAGCCCTCCAGGCAGATGCGCACGACGAGGAATCTCGCGCACAAAATCTGGCCTGCCCAAGAGGTGCCCCTTTGGCTGGCCCGTCCCTTGATGCGGAGCCTCGAGGGCCGTGGCGGAGAGAGGGACGAGAGAGAGAGAGAGAGAAAAAAAAAAAAAAAAAAAAAAAACAGAGCGTGCTGCCACCCGACAGCCGAACAAAGATAAGATGTGGGAAAGACCTCCCAAAGAAGTCCTCTCGAGTGGGACCATAGCAGATGGAGTCGGAGGACCGCGCCGCATCGCCGATGCGTCGGCGACGGCAGGATCAGTCAGCGTCGAATCGGGAAACCGGATCGGGTAGGAGTGCACAGGATCGGGCCAACTTGGCAGCCGGAGTCAAACCGGATCGACCGCGCCACAGTGCACGACAACGCCATGCAAACATGGGGCCGCATCGACTCATCGAAATATCTACATTGAATCGGATCGGGCCGGCTGGAATCGACATCGAGCCGGGTCGATCGGATCGAAACAGGCCCTTCGACGGCGGGACGGAGAAGAACGGGCTCCAGACCATGCCGCGGCCGATCCTGCGTTCCATGTGCCCCCTGGCCCCACTTGGGAGGCCTGCAGCCAGATCCTCCTCCTCCCCTTCCCCCTTCTCCTCCCTCGCCCGCCCCCTCCCACTCTCCGTCCCCGCCTTCTCCGCCCCCTCCTGCTTCGTTCTCCTCCCCTGCTCCGTCCCTCCCTCCATCCCCCCCCTCCCCCTAAATTCGCGGAAGTCGGCCGAAGGTTCGGCCGGCGCCCAGAGGTAAGGATGCAAGACGCCGGGACGCGCAGGTTGAACTCGCGGCGCCGTTGGGCCGCTGGATGGGGCAAGTGCTCCCCGATCAAGCTCAAGGCGCATAGGACGGCCTTGTGAAGCACCGGGTCTCGATCAGCGTGCCCGGACTCCAGATGCACCCTGGAAGTGGACCTGGACAGCACACATGAAGGGGCCCTGGGACACACCAACAAATACACACGAGTGACAGGATTCCCAATACTTTCCCATAGTTTCTGGGTTTTTGACCCATATTTTCTCATATTTTCCTGGGAGTCGACGATTCATTGTGTCTGTCTGTCTGTGTGTGTGTGTATTTTCCCTCCTGAGCAAACTATCTCCACACCCGCCGGGGACAAAATCTTGGCGCCGCTGGCCTCCCTCCCCCCCCCAGGTGGGTCTGGGCGTCGTCTCCTCTGGGTTTCACGGCGCCCGTCTCCACCGAGGTGGGGTACAGTCGGGCTGCTGAAAGAAGGAACGCTACATAAGGAACGAAGCCCCTCTGCGGCCTCAAAAAAGCCTGGGCGCACGAGAAGGGCTAGAGGAACAACCGCGGAAGGACGTGAGGAACATCGAGCCCCTTCCGACTCCAAGCTGTTCCTTGTCTCAGCGTCCTGGCTGCACGCTGGGAGAGCTGCCTTGCCGGACGAGGGAAGCCATGCACCACCAGGAAGCTTTCGGAGCTCCGAGCCAATTTCTCTGGGCTCTGCGCGGGACCCCCCCCCTCCCCGGCGCGAGGAGTGCGCCGAGGGCGGGCGCCGCCAAGGGGGCCAAGGGCCGACCCCAGAGAGGGAGGGAGGAGGAGGAGAGGAGGAGGGAGGAGGGGAGGGAGAGGAGGAGTGGAGGAGGAGGGAGGAGGGAGGAGGGAGGAGGAGGAGGGGGAGGAGGCGGAGGAGGGAGGAGGGAGGAGGGGGAGGAGGAGGAGAGGAGGAGAGGAGGAACGCACTGCTTTCGTCTTCGACGGGGGAGGCCTCCGACGCCTGACGGGCCGCTCTTGAAAAAAAAAACGCCCTTGCAGAGAGAAAGCTGCCGCGGGCACGCCACGTGCGAGCGGCACCGGGCGCTCCCGGGTGGGACCCCCGCGGGGCGGCTCATCGACGCTCGGAAACGGCCGAAGGTATGGGGGGGAATCGATGAGCTGCAACAGCTGGGGGCTGCACCGGCACACTCGAGTGCCGATGTCGAAAGAGCCGGGGCAGATTTCTCAAGTCGG